AATTTATTTTACAAACTTTTTTTTTTAAAGATTTTATTTATTTATTCATGAAAGACACACAGAGAGAGAGGCAGAGACACAGGCAGAGGGAGAAGCAGGCTCTGTGCAGGGAACCCAACATGGGACTCGATCCCAGGTCTCCAGGATCAGGCCCTGGGCTGCAGGCGGCGCCAAACTGCTGCGCCACCGGGGCTGCCCATATTTTACAAACTTTTAACATGGGTACATAAGGAATAAAAATTTTTAATAAATCTTTTTAAAATTAACTAATTCATCTTAGAGATTTTTTAAAAAAGATTTTGAGAGAGAGACTAAGCGTGCACCAGCAGGGGGCAGGGAGCAGAGGGAGAGAGAGAAGCAGACTCCCACCTGAGCGGGAAGCCCAATACAAGGCTTGATCCTGGGACTTGGAGGTAATGACCTAAGCAGACGCTCAACTGACTGAACCAACCAGGCACCCCAGCAATAAAAAAGTTCTTTAAAAATATTAACAGCATTAATGAAAAAGACTTCAAGGATCCTATTTATCAGTCTTTTCTAGGCTAGAATCTAAGCTTCGTGATGGGAGAGACAGTGGCATCTCAGAGCCCATCTCTGTTTTCAGGCTGGCCCAAAGCCAAAGAAAGAACTGAGTCAAGCTCAATTTCCATCTCAAGCCCTTCTCTTCTTTCAATTCCTCCTGCTTCCCTTTTCAGACACCCCTCTAGGGGGCTGATTCTTTTTTTTTTTTTTTAAGATTTTTATTTATCTATTTGAGAGAGAGAGAGAGTGGATGAAAGAGAGAGAGATAACGAGCAGGAGTGAGGGGCAGAAGGAGAAGCAGACCCTTGACTGGTCAGGGAGCCCGACACGGGGTTTGATCCCCGGACTCCAGGATCATGACCTGAGCCAAAGGCAGACACCTCACCGACTGAGCCACCCAGGCTCTCCTAGGGGGCTGATTCCTTCCTTCATTCCACTAACATGTCGAGAAGCCACAGGGGCCCAGCACTGTACAAGGTGCTAAAGATAAAGAAGACTGCCTCAGTGGCCTGTGACCTCATCCTGCCCTCGCTGACCAGCAGTTGTGATGGCTTGTAGCCCCAAAGACAGCCCTCCCTGCAATCTTAGCTCTTGCCTACTGCTGGGACCCACTCCGGGGACCCACGTCTGTCAAGCTCCTGCCTCTGCTCCCCTTTGCTGCAGATAATTGATAGAATCCTTATGCATCAGCCCTGATGTTTGTGCATCAGGTGAGTCCCGGCGAAAACAGCATTGCACTCAAAAGGGCTTAACCAATAATTGAATAAAGGGACCACTCACAGAGCTGTGGGCAAGGTTCAAGGCACCAACCAAGCATGCCAATGTCCTTGAGGACAAGCAACAGCAGGAAGCTATGGCTACCCACAGTCCTGGAGAGCACATGGTATTATTGGAGCTTATTGAAGATACTGTGATTATCTGTGATCACAGAGCAACACAGACATTACTAGTCCCTGGCACTGAGGCAGGAAGAGAATGAGGAATAAATGCCCTGCTCTGTTATATCCTGCCAGTGCCCATTTGGCTGAAACCACACGCCAGGGGGCAAGGATGCCCAAGTGATACAGTCCACCTGGCAAAGTGTTACTCTCTGTAGTAACAGTTTTATGGTAGGTTCAAGTTAAGGATGGTGTCAATCTCAGGTCGGGGTAAACTACTGGGGCAGATATTTTAAGTCAGACCTCCTCAGACTAGTCTTTCCGAATAATTCATTCTCCAAATCCTTGCTCCTGTGGGTACTGGGAAAATGCTCATCAAAAGGCTAAATTAATGCATTGATGCTTCATAGTTATTTTTTTCTTTCACATTTTATTCTGGAATATTCTAATATTCTATTGGAAGTAGATCTAAAGGATGAGGAGTGCTTTGTTGATTTGAGACCTGTCTCTAGCACACCTTTGTTTTTAATTCTCATCATAGAGACAACGACCAAAAGTACACAAAGATGCCAACAAGTAAGACAGGCATGGCCATAAATGCATGCACACCATTCTAAAGATGTCTCTTCCCCACACCTCAACTGTGGTGATTTTCAGCAACAACCCCCTCTGTTGGCCATAGAGCAGAAGGCAGAAAGTGGGGGACCAGAGGATGGGAGAACTGGAAGGGAAAAGATGGTGGGCGCCCAGCTCCAGCTGGGTGAGAGAGGATGAGGGAAGTGATGGGGTCCAGTTTTCCTCCTCTCCAAGTCCCCAGCTTCTTCCTCTCTTACATTCATAAGCAGTGTAGGCTGGTTCTGTTTCACTAGTTTAAATTCTTTACCTGGACTGCTTCCCTTGCTAACGAGGACAGTAATTTCCTTACTTGGGATGGAAACTTCCTTGTCAGCTCAGTAATAACAGTGGCTCTTTCCATTTGTGTACCCTTTAGAGTCTGAAGAGTACTTCCACACGTTATCTCATCTACTCTTTGCACCCCTTGTCAGGTCACAGGGCTTTACCTTTTATTGGTTGAGGAAATCTCAGGAAACAAATTGCCTAAAGGCACAGAGCAGTCAGCATCAGACATTTTTGTCTCTCAGCCACATTTCCTTCCAAAATGATGGAAGGTTTCTTCAAGAGAGAAGATGGCAAAGAACTTAAAGGTGGAGTAAGGTTGTTATAAAGGAGGCAAGTGTGTATATGGAGGATAAAATGAACCAGGGCGGTGGCTCTCAAGGCGCTGTCTCCACACCGGTGGCATCAGTGGCATCTGGGAACTTCTTAGAGATGCAAATTCTTGAGCCTCAGCCCAGACCTACTGAATCAGAAACATCAGAGGAAAGGGGAAGCTCAGGAACCTAGGTTTGAATAAGCCCTCTAGGACATACTGATGCATGCCAAAGTATGGGAACCACTGAATCCAGGGGAAAGGAGGTGTGTGTGGTGGGACCATAAGGAGAATACATGCCTGGAGTTAGCATAAGAAGGAGTGGGGCGGCGGGGGGGGGGCACTTGGGTGGCTCAGTGGTTGAGCATCTGCCTTTGGCTCAGGTCATGATCCTGGGGTCCTAGGATTGAGTCCTGCATCAGGCTCTCCATGGGGAGCCTACTTCTCCCTCTGCTTCTCCCTCTATGTCTTTACCTCTCTCTGTGGGTCTCTCATGAATAAATAAATAAATAAATAAATAAATAAATAAATAAATAAAATCTTTAGAAAAAAAAAGAAGGAGCTGGGAAGGGAGTCAATTATTTCCGTGGATTCTAAAGATGGTGCTGATGGGTGAATGAAGACCATTCAAGGCCACTGCAGCATTGTTTGTAATAGCAGAAGACTAGAAAAAAACCCAGCTGTCCACCAATAGAAGATGGTTACACAAATTGTGGTGCATCCATGTACTGGAACACTACGCAGCGTAAAGCAGAATAAGAGACTTGGGATATTTAGATATGGAAAAAAATAATCCAAAGTATATTTAAATAAAAAAAGAAAAAGTAGGAGAGTTTATATAATATGTTAACTTTGGGCTTTAAAAAGGGGAGAACTAAAAAAAATAAAATAAAAATAAAAAGGGGAGAACTAAGAACATATACTTGAACTTACTTGTACCTACAAGAAACTCTGGGCAGAAACAAGAAATCATTCAGAGAGGTACCTGTGGATGGGGGAATAGGGTAGATGGAAGCAGAGATAGGATGTCAACTGTTCACTGCATTTCCCTTCCTAAAATTGTCCAACTCTGTAAATATATTATCTGTTTAGAAAAATTAAAAATAAATAAAAAGAGCAGTGGGTGCAATTCAGCAGCTGAAGAACAAGAAGCTGCCTCCTGTGGAACAAGGATGGTGGGTATTTCCAAGGAAAAGTGTATCCTCTTTCTACAGAATGAGCCAACAGAGGTCAAGGGTACCAAGCTCTGTCCACACCCACTGTCTCCTCCCTCCAGCTCAAACCCTTCCAGAATGGGCGAAGTGCTTTGGGGGGAGTTTAGACTCTTTCTTTTTTTTATTAACTTTTTTTAATATATTTTTTTAATTTTTATTTATTTATGATAGTCACAGAGAGAGAGAGAGAGAGAGAGAGAGGCAGAGACATAGGCAGAGGGAGAAGCAGGCTCCATGCACCGGGAGCCCGACGTGGGATTCGATCCTGGGTCTCCAGGATCGTGCCCTGGGCCAAAGGCAGGTGCTAAACCGCTGCGCCACCCAGGGATCCCGGAGTTTAGACTCTTAATAAGATTTTAAAAATACCAGTTGCCAGGCCCCATTCCCAGAGCACCCAAATCCAAATCTCTGAGGTGGGGCCTGGGCATTTGTTTTGTTTGTGTTTGTTTGAGAGAGGAGAGAGAGAGAGAGAGAGAGAGAGCGAACCAGCAAGGATAGGAGGGGCAGAAGGAGAGGGAGAGAGAATCTCAAGCAAGCTCTGCACTGAACTCAGAGTCTGTCTCTGGGCTCAATTTCACAACCCTGAGATCATGACCTGAGCTGAAATCAAGAGTCGGATGTATAACTGACTGAGCTACCAAGGGAGCCCTAGGCACTGGTATTTTAAAGCTCCTCAATTATGATTCTGAACCACTGTCTTGGACCTTCTGGGTCAAGTCATTTATCCAGAAAGCTGGAGAGAGAGGAAGAGAAGATATCCAGTAGCTAAAAAGAAGAAATAAGGGCAGCCTGGGTGGTTTAGCAGTTTAAGCGCCTGCCTTCTGCCCAGGGTGTGATCCTGGAGTCGTAGGATTGAGTCCCACATCAGGCTCCCTGCATGGAGCCTGCTCCTCCCTCTGCCTGTGTCTCTGCCTCTCTCTCTCTGTGTCTATCATGAATAAATAAATAAAATCATTAAAAAATAAAAAAAGAAAGAAACATGTAGGGTCCAATTAACCGTGGATTCTTAAAATAAATAAATAAATAAATAAATAAATAAATAAATAAATAAATAAATAAAATAAAAGAAGAAATAACACATCTTTTGAACCTGTCAAGATCAAATCTGAATGCAATTTTTTAAAAAATCTGTCTTGATGGGAATATGTGATGAACCTGTTTCTCCCCCCTTGGCAGCCCAATACTGAAGCGAAGCCCTGATATCACCAAATCGCCATTGACCAAGTCAGAGCAGCTTCTGAGGATAGACGACCATGATTTCAGCATGAGGCCCGGCTTTGGAGGTATGAGACATGCCCTTGTGGTGGCCTTCTTCTGTCTTCAGGTCTGTCCACTTGTCCATGGATAGAAATCAAACCAAGGGGCCAACTCACTTTGCTCTCCCCCAATGAAGGTCTGGCTTGGGGATCAAGACGGAGCCCACAGCATCGCCCCTGCTCAGCCCCGCCAAGGGCTCTGCTGAGCATATTCCCAGGTTAGGCTGGGCTAACTGAGCTGTCCTCAGGCCACTGCTCCTGACAAGGAAGGCTGGGGCTCAGTGAGGCCAGCAGGTGGCTGTGGGAAGGGCCAGGGGAAGACCGGGTGGCTGCAGCCCAAAGCTGCCTCCTGCAAATGCTCTGAAATAACAACCTTGGACTAAATTCATGCTCATCTGGGAGCTGGCAGACGGAACTGTGGGTGTGTATCCGAGGGCAGAGTGTAGTCTGCTGGGTTTAATTAAATGAAAATAGCTTGAGAAAAAAATGATGTAGTGCAGAGGGCTGTCACAGCCTCTGAGGCTTAGCTGTAGCTGGCGGATTTCAGCCGTCTCAGTGTCAAATAGGGTTTCCATCCATACAGGTTTCTTCCTGGAAGAAAATGTTTATTTTAGAAATAGTTCTCATGTTTTTATTTCTGTCGGCCACCTTCACCCAAAGAATAAACAGATTCTAGAAGGGAGTCTCTATTCCATCCATAACCTGCTGCTCTTGGTCCAAATCTACCTCAATCCATGATAATCCAAGTGTGTTCCATGGCTGCCCCACATGCCTGGAGGCAGGGAGGGAAAGGAGCAGTAATCTACTCCCTTTATAATATTTTCCTTCTCTTGATGAATATTAAGTTTTCATTGCCTAGAAATGCAAAAAAAAAAAAAAATTCTAACGTTTCAAGGCCACCCTGGATGCATCCCTTGGAAGCTATTCCATCATGTGGCAAAGATGCAGATCTGTGGGTTTGGTCGATGACCTGAATGTGACTTTGGTTCTGGGTGTCTATTTACCAAGCAGTGCCTTTCTCATAGCCAGACAGAGACAATGGCTTCCATGACAAAATCAGGAGACGAATATAAAAAATAAAGTGGGGGACTTCGTGCTAGGGAGTAACTCCTTAGATAAGGCCCAGCTTTGAGCTAGGTCTTCATTGTACCTTTAGATGAGCATGTGTAACCAAAGAAGAAAGCTTTATTGGAATCTCATCATTTCAGAATCACCTGAATGATTCAGGTGAAAACAAAACACTTCTTTTTTTTAAACTTTTGTTGGAGTATTCCAGGGAGCCACCCATGATTCAACCCTTTGATTCCTGGTTTCATTTCAGCTTGACATGTGGGGACACCAAACCTTCAAATCTGGCAGGAAGCTGAGGAACGGGTTCCAGGGGGAATGCTCCTCATGCCTGTCTTTTCCACAGTAAAAATTCAAGTAAAAAGAATCCATATTATTTCTATGTCCTGTTTGCAGGTCCGGCCATTCCTGTTGGTGTGGATGTGCAGGTGGAGAGCTTGGACAGCATCTCGGAGGTCGACATGGTAAGTGTTTCCATTTCGGGGACTGTGGACAGGTGGATTCACACACACGGGGGCCTCCGCTTGGCTGGGAAGTGCACACACCCGAACTCGCTGGGTCTCACAACTCCCTGGGCAATGGGAATGCCCACAATCATGTAGGTGGCTCCGGAAGGTTAAGACACTTGCCCGAAGCCACCCAATTGGTGTGAGGCAGAGCCAATAACAAAGTTGATCTCCCTCCACACTAAACTCTTGCTACTGGGATGTGTTCTCTGGGCAAAGGCTCTCAAACATGAACAGTGGGGTCCAAGGAGGCAGCTGTCAAATAGCCAGATGTTCTTCAGCTGTAGATCCTATATTTGGCTGTGGAAATGCAGAAAAACTGCTGAAAAGTGTCCCTTTTCCCCCTTTTCAGTGGGTTTAGATGTGAAAATAGAATGTTCTACAACTCCTTGACTTACAGGACTTTTTAAGCCTTATGTTAGCTTGGGTTCTCCAAAAAGCAGACTTGAGAGAAGCATTCTAGCACAAGTGGTTTATTTGGGAGGTGATTCCCTGTGACTCAGCAAGACAGCGGGGGTGGGGGACAGGGATAGGGGAAACAGGGATAGGGAGGAAGCAAAACAGCCTGTGCCCTCAAACCAGTTACTACTGTGAATCTCAGTCCCACTGGGGGAACTCTGAGAGTCAACAAAGAATACACCTCAGGGTTATCCCAGCTGAGGGGCCAAGGAGCTGGGGTGTTTATCGAGCCCTTCCACCCCCTCCACTCCCCAAACATGGTGAGGGTCACCAGTGCTGGCAGTACCACCTTGTCAGTGTGGAGGCAGATGCCAGGGCATGGGGTGGGGTTCTGCTGGAGGCCTCTGGCTGAGTCCCTCCCCTGAAGCCCTCCAACTGCTGTTGCCAACCCCAGGGACTAGACGCAGGCCCTCGACTCTGCTGTTTCATTCCCAGCCAGGTGATGGCTCCATGGGGTGCACAACATCCCCTGACACCCAGTAGGTTCAGTGTGTGGGGTTCCCCTCTCTGCCCCTGCCCCCAGGACTTCACGATGACCCTCTACCTGAGGCACTACTGGAAGGACGAGAGGCTGTCCTTCCCAAGCACCAACAACCTCAGCATGACCTTTGACGGCCGGCTGGTCAAGAAGATCTGGGTCCCTGACATGTTTTTCGTGCACTCCAAGCGCTCCTTCATCCACGACACCACCACAGACAACGTCATGCTGCGGGTGCAGCCCGACGGCAAAGTGCTCTACAGCCTCCGGTAAGGCCTGGCAGCCCGTGACCTTTTGGCTTTCCAATGGTCAGCTTCTAACTTCTCAGGAGATGCCACCCTTTCAACTGTCAAGGGACACCAATTTTACACATGAGAAAAAAATTGTAAGGAAGTTTTAGTCTCAGAAACACATTGGCGGAAATTTCTCAAGCTGATACTTATGATTTATGCCTTATCCTGCATGTTATATTTTCATTTAAAAAACTTTAATGAGGGGCAGCCCGGGTGGCTCAGCAGTTTAGTGCCGCCTTCAGCCCAGGGCCTGATCCTGGAGACCCAGGATCGAGTCCCATGTTGGGCCCCCTGCATGGAGCCTGCTTCTCCCTCTGCCTGTCTCTCTCTCTGTCTCTCATGAATAAATAAATAAAATCTTAAAAAAAAACTTTAATTAAAGTTTTATTGGTTTAGACTCTAGTGGGAATCAATGAGATAGAGTTGACGAAATTTTTCTGAAGGACTTGCCTCCTTAGATGTCTCAATTCCTGTTTTTTTTTTTTTTTTCAGGTATAGTTTAGAACTTGGGCTAAAAGGAATTCTTTTACTTTACCTGATCAACCAGGCGTGTTTGCTATCCTTTCTCACCATGGTATCCTACTTGAGAAACTATGGAAATCCCGGGTCACTTTATGACTTTTTTATTTTTATTTTTAAGATTTTATTTATTTATGAGAGATAGAGAGAGAGAGAGAGGCAGAGGGAGAAGCAGGCTCCATGCAGGGAGCCCGACGTGGGACTCGATCCCAGGACTCTAGGATCACACCCTGGGCTGAAGGCAGGCGCTAAACCACTGAGCCACCCAGGGATCCCATGCTTTATGACTTTTAAATAGCATTCTGAGCATCACTTTTAAAATATAAGGAATATAATCTTTTTTTCTTCTGTGCTCAGATGCCTTTGAAATGTTCAGGTGCTCATTAATCACTGACCTGGAGGAGCTTTCCTTAAACACAGGAGCCACAGCAGGGCTTTCCCTGCTTGACCAGCTTTAGAAACTCAAGGTGGGGCAGCCAGGTGGCTCAGCGGTTTAGCGCCGCCTTCGGCCCAGGGCCTGACCCTGGAGACCTGGAATCAAGTCCCATGTGAGGCTTCCTGCTTGAAGCCTACTTCTCTCTCTCTCTCTCTCTCTCTCTCTCTCTCTCTCTCTCTCTCTCTCTTTCTCTCTCCATCTCTCTCTCCCCGTGTGTCTCTCATGAATAAATAAACAAAACCTTGAAAGAAAGAAAGAAAGAAAGAAAGAAAGAAAGAAAAAAGAAAGAAAGAAAGAAAGAAAGAAAGAAAGAAAGAAAGAAAGAAAGAAACTCAAGGTGGCCAAAGCTCTACCATGAAGGATGTGTGGAGTTGAGCTGCAGGCCTTCCCAGAGAAGGGGCTGTGCCTGCTGTGATTTACTCCTCCTGTGCCACACTGAAGGTGCATTTCAGTTTTACAGACTTTGTTTTGGTAAAGACAAATCCCTACCCCAGTGTTTAAGGAAGGGGATGCCTAGATGGTGGCACAGTGTATCTTTTGAGTCAAAGATGGCAATGTTGGGACGCCTGGGTGGCTCAGCGGTTGAGCATCTGCCTTCGGCTCAGGGCGTGGTCCTGGATTCCCAGGATTGAGTCCCACATCAGGCTTCCTGCATGGAGCCTGCTTCTCCCTCTGCCTATGTCTCTGCCTCTCTCTCTCTTTCTCTGTATCTCTCATGAATAAATAAATAAATCTAAAAAAAAAAAAACAGATGGCAATGTTGAAGCTGAATTTTTTGCCCCTACCCTCCAAGGTATTTATGATGAATCCTCATTAGTCATCTTGGCTTGGGACCTAAGCAATTAGTTACTAGACTCAGAGTGGAGTTATGGGGTTTTCCTCTCCATAAATTGAAATGCCTCCCCCCATGGAAGTACTCAGGAGGGTCAAGGATGTGCAATCCCTCCCCCCAACCATGTTGGATTTGTTCTCCCTGGAGTCCTCACATCCGAGGCAGCTGACAAGTCATCCTTAAGCTCAAAAACCATCAACAAAACAACACAATCCGATGGTACCACCAGGGACACAAAAGACTAGACCGTAATGCATGTGAACACTAGTGTGCTGGTAAATGTTTAACAACTGGTTGCCTGGGGTTAATGTATACACATATGTATGTGGACGTAAGTTTCTTATAAACGTGACTGATAAAAAGAATGTACATGATTTATAAGTGAAACAATATATATAATACTTTCTGTTATAAATCCCATACACTTATAACTTCAGTACTTATAACTTCAGTATAATTTCCCATTTCTTATAAAATTCCATTATTATTTTTTCTGGTTTTATTGAGATATAATTGACCTATAACCTACTATTATTTTTTATGATTCTATTGCCAACAATAATCCAAATAAATCAGGCTATGAATAAATGTTTGTAAGCATTTTTGTGATTATGTGACTTACAAATGAGTGTAGATCTGATCAATGATTGTTGATATTTTTTGTTTCTTATATATTTTTTAAGTAATCTTTACACTCAACATGGAGTTCTTTTTTTTTTTTATTTTTATTTATGATAGTCACAGAGAGAGAGAGAGAAGCAGAGACACAGGCAGAGGGAGAAGCAGGCTCCATGCACCGGGAACCCAATGTGGGATTCGATTCTGGGTCTTCAGGATCGTGCCCTGGGCCAAAGGCAGGCGCCAAACTGCTGCGCCACCCAGGGATCCCCTCAACATGGAGTTCTAACTCACAGCCCCGAGATCAAGAGTCTCATGCTCTACCAACTGAACCAGCCAGACACCCCTATTTTTATTTTCTTTAATAAGACAAAAATGAAACAACCAAGAACTATGCAGGAACTTCATTCATTCATCAAAGACATAGCAACTTCCTTGCTGAATTGGATAATAGCTTTTAAATATTGGAAGACTATATCCTTAATTTTTTGTACTATTTATGTATAATGGCAAAAGATAAAGCACACTTTTAGGTTTTTTACAAAATATTTTATCTATTTATTCATGAGAGACACAGAGAGAGAAGCAGAGACATAGGCAGAGGAAGAAGTAGGCTCCTCGCAGGGAGTCCGATGTGGGACTTGATCCTGAGACTTTGGGATCACGCCCTGAGCCAAAGGCAGACACTCAACTGCTGAGCCACCCAGACATACCATGCTTTTAAGTTTAATCTGCTATCTTAATTCAAGACAATCTACAAAACAATAAATCAAGCCCTGATTTGGAGCATTTGCTGATTTCTGTAGTGTAAATATTCCTATCACAGCTGGCTTCAAACTACCAACCTGATGTCACTCAGTGCAGAGTTGGGAAGAAATGCATAGTAGCACAGTGATAGGTAGTGTTTTCCACCAAGTAAACATTAGAGATGTAACTTCAGGAGTATAGATACTAGTAAAATAATTAAGAAGTGTTGAGTTTTTAATATTTATTCGTTTGTTTCAAATATAAGTTACTTAAGTTTATACAGTCTGATTTTTAATAATGGCCATGTTTAGGGGCTCCATCAATAACACATGTGACTCTTGATCTCAGGATTGTGGGTTCGAGTTCCACATTGGGTATAGAGATTGCTTAAAAATAAAATCTTAAAAAAAAAATAATGGCTCTGTTTAACAACCAGCCTACAACTTCCTGAAAGTCTAGCAATCGGCTATCCTGAGCCAAATGAAGTCTAATCAAGCACACCACTGGATGTGATCAGAGGCACTACATAAAAAATAAGAAAATGGAAAATCCTCCCGTGTGTTCAGAATCAGAGTCCTCAGTGAGCCTCCTTGTGGCTAAAAACAGATGCTTTGATTTTTCATTGCAAATAAAATCATAGGTTTGTTTGATTTAGGTGGGGGGAAAAAAACCAAGAGGCATAAATTAACTGCCATTTTGTTGTTGTTTTTTTAAAGATTTTATTTATTTATTCATGAAAGACACACACAGAGAGAGAGAGAGGCAGAGACACAGGCAGAGGGAGAAGCAGGCTCCATGCCAGGAGCCTGATGTGGGACTCGATCCCGGGTCTCCAGGATCATGCCCTGGGCCAAAGGCAGGCGTGAAACTGCTGAGCCACCCAGGGATCCCCTTAACTGCCACTTTGAGCTTTACTTTGGGGCAAACATGGAGTAGCTGCCCATCAACTGTGCCAGTAACAGGTTAACTCGTAGAACACAACCAATATACCATCCTTCCACCTCATCTAGTCATTGATTCATTTGACAGATTTTTATTAAGAAGTTTCTGGGTGCCAGGGTGGCCCCTAGAAGGGTGTGTGCAAATAAAAGCCTGTGAGGGCCTATCTCCACTTCTGGGGATGTAGAGAAGAATAGTATCAGTGTGATTACTGCCTAGTGAAAGAGACAGACATGGAACCAGATGATGAGAATGTAGACAGAGGCATGTGTGCTGTGCAGGGTGCGAGGGGGGGAGGAGCAGGGAGTGAGTGGCAGGTAACAGGACAGTGAGGTTGAAATCTCCTGGGCCCTAGGATAAAAGAAAAAGTGAAATCCACAGATGAGATGCTCTGTCATACTAGGTAGATTTTATTAAGCAAATGTTAAAAAACTCATTCCATGGTTCTTGAATTCCCAGTCAACTTCAAAATATGAAAGAGTCAATGATTTTGGGCAGAGGAAAAGATATATGAGATTATTTTTGGAAGAGAGTTAGGGTATGTACAAGCCTTCCCAGGAATTTCCTCAAGAGCCTTGTAATCAAGTGCCATACCAGTGGGGTGACACTATGCAGTCAGAGGCAAGAGAAGAGCCATCTAAACAACCCTCGGGCCTTGGTAGGGTCAGTCACTGTGAGCTGAGTCTGGGGATGGGGATTTGGCTGCTGGATAAGGGAGCTCTGAAGCTGGAAGTGTCCACAATGTTGAATGAAGAACCCAACAAGTTATACATCATCTAACCATGTAGAATCATGTTGCCAGTGAGCCTTCAACCAGAGAGCATGAAGTCACCTACCAAAGAACTGTCCATCTCCCACCTCCCTCCTCCCTGTCTCTGATCCACCTGTACAGTGACTGATCAGAGGTGGGCAGGAACTGATCACGCAAAGCCAATTTCATACCTTATCTTGGGAGGAGGAACAGAAGTCCTTAATGAGAATGAATTTGAATGTTATTAATATCTGGTCAATCTTCTAACTTTTGAATTTAAATTTGCTTTGTTACTTACAATAACTGTCTGGATTATTACATAGAATGTAAGCAAAAAAAAAAACAAATTCACGGGAACGAAATTCCATCCAAGACAAGGGAAGAGCTAACCAAAAACTCCAATTTTATTAAAAAAATTTTTTAGAGAGAGTGCATGTGTTTGAGCAGGGAGTGTGTTTGGGGATCAGAGGGAGGAATTTCTGGGGCAAGAGGATGAGGAAGTAGAATCATTAAGCAGGCTTCCCTGCCCATTGCAGAGGCCAACTAGGACTTGATCTCACACCCCTGAGATCAAGACCCAAACACAAAAACAAAGTCCGGGCCTTAACTGACTGAGCCACCCATGTGCTCCCCATGAATCAGTTTAGAAACATAGAGTCTGGGGATCCCTGGAGCGCAGCGTTTGGCGCCTGCCTTTGCCCGGCGCGATCCTTGAAGACCCGGATCAAATCCCACGCGGGCTCCTGGTGCATGAGCCTGCTTCCCCCTCTGGCCTGTGTCTCTGCCTCTCTCTTCTCTATCTTTGTGACTGACCAATAAATAAAAAACAAAAGAAACATAGAGTCTGTATTAAAACACAAAAAACCCCGTGCGTGTTCAATAGTTGATGTGTGAGTTTCCAAGGGGAAAAAACATCAAGTCGGGGTTCAAAGTACCAGTCTATGTCTGTGAATTCTAAAATATCTGTTCCTGATAACATAAAAGAAAAGATATTCAATCCTTTTGTTGATAGCGAAAACTTCCTGCATTTGACATTTCATTAGCTCTAAGTCTCCAAACATAGCTTCTAGTTTCTTTCTTGCTGGGGATGCCATTAGGTATTGTTAATGCGGGTTCGCCCGGATAGAAAAGAAGCGGGTGTCCAACTCAACGCCATCACCGACTCCTCCCTCACTCAATACACCCTGTTTTATCAGATTTCCACGAAAGACAAAAGGCTACTCAGCTTGCCAGCAATAGGAAATTCCTTTTCAGGATGGCATGAGTGTTCAGTCAGCTTCAGCTTAGGTCATGATCCCAGGGTCCCCTGGAATGGAGTCCCACATCAGGTTCCTTGCTCAGTCAGAGAGTTCTCTCATCCTCTATCCCTCTCCCCTGCTTATTATCATTCTCTCTCTATCTCAAATAAATAAAACCTTAAAAAAAAGAAAGAAAGAAAAGAAAAGAAAAGAAAGAAAGAAGAAAGAAAAAAAAAAAAACTCTTTCAGAATACAATTCCATACTCACATGGAAGGGGGAAAATAAGCCAGTATTTGTATAATTCAGTTCAAGAGGGCTCCTTCCTTAGAAATTTCCATTTAAATTAAAATGTATTTATGTCTTTTGCTATGAATTATTCAGATAACTCTACAACATATATATATGTATATATATATAGCAAAGATTTGGTCAAAGAAAAAATAGTTTGTTCAGTATCAGCCAATAACTGTTAATCATGTCCTGCCAAGAGATTCCCCACAGGATGGGAGATTTTCATGTACAACTAATGATCTGTGTTGTGTTTGTTTACTCTTTGATGCAGAAGCCCATTTTCCTGTGTAAACTCTGAAACAAAACCATCAGATGCCAGCAAGTGCTTGCATGTTGGTACAAAAGAATCTTTCAGTGTTTTTTCATTACTATGATCTCCATGGAATTATCCACTAAAAATACCTATGCCCACTGGGAGCTATTGTTATCGATATAAAAATAATAACATTATTTTAAAAAGTGCCAAATTCGACCACTGGCATAAGTGTTTCATTAATATTATTTCTGATATGTTGTATTCAAATATTGAATATCAATAAAATCAATAAAAGAACAGAAAAATTGAATTTATATAAAACCAGAGAACAATATATACTCCTATGGTTTCTTTTAACAACATCATATGAGTTTTTACTTCACATTTTTATATAGGTTGAGACCATTGCTTCAATAATATGCTTGAACGTGATAGAAGTTGGTAGAGATCCTCCGCCTCACACAGCCTCTAGAATAAAACATAAAACCCAGAGCACTCAGATGACTTTATCATACATAAAGCTACTTGTCTAAATCTTGACACCTTGCTTATTATGAATTATAAGGAGGCAGTTATATTGGAAGGAAACAGAGCCCTTTTCTGTTTACCATTTTGCACTTGTATTTTGCAATCTCTGAAAATTTGGATGTTTGTCTTTTTGTTTCTAGGGTTACAGTGACTGCAATGTGCAACATGGACTTCAGCCGATTTCCCCTGGACACACAAACATGCTCACTTGAAATTGAAAGCTGTGAGTAGACTGTCTGGGACATCAGCACACAGATCACACAAAGACTAACTCTCCGTAGCAGGAACAGCATGTGCTCCTCCTTCATACTGTGCTTTTCAAGTGATTTTTTTTTTTAATTAAAAAGCTAAGTCCAGGGTAATTATGAAAATCAGGAACAGGTTTGAAACTAAAACCTTCTGTTCCCTTAAGTGACCCTTTAAATGCGCCAGAGCAATGGTTTTAAGCTCGGTTCTGGGGAACCGGGGCAATTGCTAGGGAGTGGGGTAGAGGGCTCAGCAAATGTGGGTCTCCTTGTGCAGCTACCTCTACACACCATCCAATGTATGAGCTCATTTTTAATCTGTTTTATTGTTCTTCTGAATAAGATTTCTGTTAAAGAAAAGACTTCTTGGCAAAAACAAGTTTGCCAAGGTAATCACATGTGGTGCTAGAGGTCCTTAGGCACAACTGAGGGGCATTAGGATACTTGCACACATGGCTAGTGACCAAGCCCTAGTGGCATCCCTTTGGCACAGGGGACCTTTATAAGCCTGCCTGTACTTGTGACAATGAGTCAGGTGTCCCCTGGCTCAGTCATCTAGGACCAAGCAGGGCAGGGATGTTGAGGTAGAGGGTCAAGAGGACAGCTCCACAGGGCACTGAATGTGGGAAAAGGGAGTAATAAATCCCAGGACCAAGGGGGTGACTGCCCAATGCATAGGGGCTTCGGCCTGCTGTCATTTCACCCTCCCCAGATTCAGTGAGCAGGTTACTATAATGTTCATCATACAAGGAGGGATGTAATTTGCCTGAGGACATAGCATTAAGAAGAACTTAACTCATTGTCTCCAGAACCTTGTCTTCCCCACTAGACCCAGGAAGCTCCATTGGGAATGTAGCTTCTTCCAGTTGTATCCTTCAGGGTGCCACAGGGAAGCAGAATATTGGAGACACATAGTAAGAGATACTGAGTGCAAGGAATTGGCTTTTGCAAGTGAGTATGGGGGGTTGGTAAGGCAAGTTTGACATCTGCAGGGCAGGCTGTTGGGAAGGGCAGACTGGGAACCCCGGGTGGGGCCTGATCTTGCCCTCCACAGGCAGATTTTATTCTTCTTGGGCAAACCTCAGATCAGCTTCTTAAGGCTTTTCAATGGATTGGATCCGGCCTATGCAATTATCCTGGATCATCTCCTTTACTTAAAGTGAACTGGTTTTAGGTGGCACATCTACAAAGCATCTTCAGAGGAACACCTGTATTAGTGTTTGATTGAATAACAGCCTAGCCAAGTGGATACATGAAACCAACCAACACACAGGTCAAGGGTAAGAGATAGAATAAATTAGAGGAATGAAATAGGGCATCGGGGAGCTCCAGAAAGAACTGTTACATACATGAGCAGACTGGACCTCAGTTCTGTCCAGGCTGCAGGTAGGTTTATTTAATTGGAGTAACGTGTGTGGTCACCTAAGGTGGGCGAAGGTCAGGAAGTGATCCTTAACGGGGCCCTGGGTAGAAGCACCTGGAGGCCTGCAGAGAAGGGGCTTGTGTTCTGCTGCCAGCACTTTATGTGTCCTTTTTCAGTAGAATGCAGCTCTTCTTGCCTTGAGAGTATTTAAAGATATTAGCCACTAATGGATGCAGTACTACACCTTGGAAGCAGAAAAGAAGGCGAAATCAGCCTAGCTTTTTAAGACTGAACCATATATGCAATTTTGCCACGATTTCACCATTTCTGATCTGCAAGTATAGCAATTTCATTTGTTTTAACCTAATAAGTGGCAGGCTGGATTGTAGGGTGAAGGTGTTTGCAGGAAGTATGAGCATTTAGGCTCGAGAGCTTTGCTCTCATGACTTCTGGAAGACTGGGGAGAACTCATTTTTCTTTCTGTATTTTGTTTTGCTTTGTTTAGACTGTGGTTTGGTTATTCAGACTCTCTTACTGTAATCTCAGTTTGTGTGCGAGATCTGGAGCTGCTTCCACGGAGCCCCACAGATAGGCCTGTCTTCCTACCACTGCAGGCCTGTGCCTGATGCTGTCTTCCGTCTTTTCAGATGCTTATACAGAGGATGACCTCATGCTGTACTGGAAAAAAGGCAACGACTCCTTAAAGACAGATGAACGGATCTCACTCTCCCAGTTCCTCATTCAAGAATTCCACACCACCACGAAACTGGCCTTCTACAGCAGCACAGGTGCGTGTGCATGGTGGGGGCTGAGAGCTGGGGTGGGTCCTAGTCTGGCTGCAGTGGATCATCCTCTATTTTAGGAAAGGTGTGAGTTGGCTGTCAGATGAGCAGAGGTTGTGCCACCTAGATGTGAAGCCAAAGGTGGAATTCCTAAATCAGGTCTAGGGGATGGCAAGAACCGGGGAGAGGTGATTTTTGGATGCAACCAAAGCATCCGAAGTGATAACCTAAAAAATATTAGTAAGGACACAAACATAAGCCATGTGAAGAGTTTTGTTTGAGCCAATCACTTTGCCGGTTTAGCAGCTGGCATCTCCCCTCCCCCCATAGGATTCCCAGAACCTCCTCCTCTGTAGGCAAGAAACAGTAGGATTTTAGGTCTGTTGATTTCGGTTTTCTTTGCTCCACTCAGCTAATCCTCTCTCTCTCTCTTTTTCCCTTTTTTTCTCGAACTAATTCTCTTTTAAGTATACTGCTTACACAGGCCCCCTTTATGACCTTGTAAGGCTCCACACTCAGGTCTGAACGAGCTTGCCATCTCTCCTTGCCTGGGGGCATGCTCTGTGGTCTTCCTCCTGGCAGCTGAGGTGAACAGCTCCCTCCAACACTTACTCTGTCTTGACTAATCACCTTTCAGGATGATATTATTCAAATCTTTATGTAGTTTCTTTTCTTTCTTTCTTTCTTTTCTTTCTTTCTTTCTTTTTTCTCCTTTTTTTCAGTACGCTCCATGCCCAGTGTGGAGCCCAATGCAGGGCTTGAACTCATGACCCTGAGATCAAAACCTGAGCTGAGATCAAGAGTTAGATGCTTAGTCAACTGAGCCACTGAGGCGCTCTTCTTTATGTAGTATCTATTGCCAAAACATTACATGACTGCGCAGTAAGTGTAACCTTTTAAGTCGTCTAATCTGTAATACAAGGCACTGTTGTATTCCCAACATATCGTGGCAATCCAGCATATCTTATCTTCTGTATATATCACGCAGGTCTTGGTTTTTCATGGAACTCCCGCTTCATCCTTAGCATTCTGACTCTTCCTCTTTTCTTAGTCTGTTCAGGCTGCTATCATAAAATACCATAGACAGGGTGGGTTCTAAACAACAGAAATTTACTTCTCACAGTTCTGGAGGCTGGGAAGTCCAAGATCAAGATGCTGGCAGTCAGTGTCCGATGAGAGCCTGTTTCCTAGTTCATAGACAGCCACCTTCTCGCTGTGTCTTCACATGGGGGAAGGCGCAAGGGAGCAATCTAAGGTCTCTTTTACAGGGACGCTAATCCCACTCATGATGTAATCACTCCCAAAGGCCCCACCTCCAAATACCATCATGTAGAGGATTAGGTTTCAACAAAAATTGGGGGGGAGGGACATTCAGTTTACAGCACCTCCACAATCTCTTCCTGAGATTGTTTTACAGTGATAACCATTGCATTATCATTGTTCAGGACGCCAGGTTTTCAAGTTAATGTTGCCAAGTTTCTGTTTCATTTTCAATCTCATCATCTCAGGTTTATCTTGCTTTTTTCTTCTCCTCCCATCGTTCCCCTGTTCCTTTGAATGCCTCCATGCATATTTTTTCCTTGTAGAGAGAACACAAGGGTGGAGCTGAACCATAGCGAACCTGTGTTTATTGCTCCTGAATGCAATGTTAGGGTTAGCTTGGTATTTTAACTTTAAAACTTTTTCCTCCATAGAGAATCCCAACGGGGCTTGTTTAAATAAATGTTTCTCAGACTTTATCAGACATATCAATCACGTGGGAGTATTGTTAAAAGGAAACTCTGATGCGATAGATCAGAGGTGGGGCTGAGAGTCTACATTTCCAACAAGCAACCAGGTGACAATGACACTACTGGGCTCTGTCCCAAAGGATGAGTTAACAAGAGTCTTATTTATTTATTTTTAGGTTTGTTTGTTTGTTTGTTTACTTAAGACAGAGACAGAGGCAGAGACATAGGCAGAGGGAGAAGCAGGCTCCCTGTGGTGAGCCTGATGCAGGACTCTATCCCAGGACCTCAGGATCGTGACCTCAGCAAAAGGCCCAACCACTGAGCAACCCAGGCATCCCTGAGTTAACAAGAGTCTTTTGTTTTGTTTTGTTTTGTTTTTAACAAGAATCTTAAATCACCTTCTCAAGAAGCTTCCTTTACGTAAAGACAGGGCCAAAAATTTCTTGAGACAGACTAACCCATGTGGTGTAGGTTATCATATAATCACTCCATGGTTTTTCCATGGTTTTTCTTTCACTTTGTAAAGATGTGGCAAGTTTCCAGTGAAGTCTGTAAGGCGTTCATGATTCCCTGAATGAAATGTGTTGGGTGAAGGAGCTGAATAGCTATGGTGCGTGCTATCTTTACTTCTTTGTGTCCCCCCCAGGCTGGTACAACCGTCTATACATTAACTTCACTTTGCGTCGCCACATCTTCTTTTTCTTGCTCCAAACTTACTTTCCTGCCACCCTGATGGTCATGTTGTCCTGGGTGTCCTTCTGGATTGACCGCAGAGCTGTACCTGCCAGAGTCCCTTTAGGTAAGGAATATCTCAAATGTGTATTTCAGGTATCTGAAAATACAAATAATTTCTTCCAGATAAAACCATTCATTTCAAATTTGATTCTAAACCCCTGTTGGCATTATAACTTGGAAAAACCAGGTATTGATTTACAGGTAAAATGCCATTATTAAGAACCTATGTGGCAAAACTGTTTCCAGGGCCCTACAAGTGCCCACTTTAGTCTTGTTAGAACCGTGTTCTGGGGTCCACAATCTAGGTGTGTGGGTGCTTTTTCTGGCCACCTGCATAAGGAAACTACATTTTCTAGCAGGGTTTCTCAAAAGATCGCCCAAGGGATCTTTGCAATGGAATCTCTGGAGCAAATTGTTAAAAATAAAGAATCCTGTGATTCATCTACATGTATAGAACCATAATCCCTGAGAATGGGCTGGAACCTACATTTTGAACAAGGTCTCCTGATAATTCTTATACATACTCAAGTCTGAAAAATCCCTACTCTGTAAGAACTCCATGAATAGCTAAATTTGCCATCAACTCTCTCCCCCACTTTAAATATCGCACCCACCCAGTCACACACACCACCATTGTTCAGATGGTTCGGAGGCTTAAAGGGAGCGGGTGACCTCCACCCAGGTTTTAGTGACACTGAATGGAGCTGGCCCTTAAGGTGACTCCAGTCCCCTGTGACTTAGTGTTTGCCAAGAAATATTCTGAGCTTAATTTGAAATCCCAGGCAAATACCACTAACAAATGACTTGTCCTTTAACAGTTATTCTATAGCTTGAACAGTTACTATGCTAAATAAACAAATATTCCAGTTTCAAAAATCTAACCCCCCCTAAATGAGGTTAACATCATTCTTTGTAAAATTGACCTCTGAGTCCTCAAGTCAATGTTGTTGAGAGGGCAATGGGCAGCGAGGTCCAGCACAGCTGATAGTATAGGCCCAGGACTGTGAGGTTCTACACCAGCAACAAGGACACAAGTACTGAAATATACCTTGCACACTTTTCCCCCTTTTTGGAGAAGTAGTTACAAGATACACTTATCTACCTCCTTGTATATATCATCTCTGTTTTATTATTTACTTATTATTTTTTAAGATTTTATTTTTATTTATTTTTATTTTTTAAAATATTTTATTTATTTATTCATGAGAGACAGAGAGGCAGAGACACAGGCAGAGGGAGAAGCAGGCTCCATGCAGGGAGCCTATTGTGGGACTTGATCCGGGGACTCCAGGATCACGCCCTGGGCTGAAGGTGGCTCTAAACCGCTGAGCCACCCGGGCTGCCCAAGATTTTATTTTTTTAAGTAATCTCTACATCCAATGTGGGGCCAGAACTCACAACTCCAAGATCAAGAGTGTGTGTTCCACTGACTGAGCCAGCCTGGAGCCCCTATACAATCTCTGTTTTAACCAATTGAATGGAAATAAATGTCTTGCTGTCAAACAGTCTAGGGTGGGCTCCCTATAGAAGGACAAAGTGATACAGGTGTCCTAATGAATATGCGAGTATGTGGAGGAGGAAAGGTGAGCATGAGGGGTGGAGGAACAGGAGAAGCTTCATAAAAGCTAGGTCTTAAAAAAATAAATAAATAAAAGCTAGGTCTTGAAAGATGAGTAGGTGTTTGCTAGACAGAGGGGCAGGGATGGAGATATTCTAGGCCGGAGGACCAGAAGGGACAAAGAACAGAGACACAAAGCCACCCAGGGTGTTTGGTGAAAGATAAACTTGGGCTTATTTCTCACTCTGTTTGCAGGTATCACCACGGTGCTGACCATGTCCACCATCATCACGGGCGTGAACGCCTCCATGCCCCGCGTCTCCTACATCAAGGCGGTGGACATCTACCTGTGGGTCAGCTTCGTGTTCGTGTTCCTCTCGGTGCTGGAGTACGCGGCCGTCAACTACCTGACCACCGTGCAGGAGCGCAAGGAGCGGAAGCTGCGGGACAAGGTGACCTTACCATGAGTAAAGTGTCTGCTCAGGGGTAGAGCCTGGTCCAGCTCTGGACCACGGGCAGGTCAGACCTTCTCTATAAGTTGGGCTGGTGACACCTTCTCCTCCACCTCCTTCACCAGTTGGTATGAAGAGCAAACCAAATAGTATGTTAAAACAGTGTGAAATTTACACTGGACTATATCACTCATTCATTCAAATATTTATGTAGCACCTACCATATACTGGCAGCTAAGCCAAGTTAACTAAAACAGAGTCTCTGTATTCTTGGTGGTGGTGATTGTTCAGTGCTAAAAATAGATGACAATTCAACATGCTGGAACAATTATTTGTGGACACAGAGGTGTAATAACAAAAACTTCCAGGGTGGCCCATCTTTCATTCTAGGAATTCTCCTTTCATATGTGAAAGGAAAACTCCAGAAAACTAATACTAAATAGGAGTAAGCTGTCTCCACAATGCTACACCTTTCAAACCCCACCCCCTCACACCACACAGACACACACACACACACACACACACACATACACACACGTAATGTTAGTAATGTTATCTGAAACATTTTTATCAGGGCTCATATCAGTTTATGATCTCATGGAGAACAGACAATTCTTTGATCATGAACATTCAAGTGAGTCTCTGATACAAAAGTGGCTTTGGAGGTTTGGAACAAAAATGGGCACCTGCTTTTTTAGAACGTCTATGGCGCCAACACCATTGTTTTCCCATACCCTGTCCCTAACTGGGACTAAAAGAAACTAGAAAAGGCAACCTGGGCCACCATGCAGTTTCTTCTGAGAGATGAAGCTGAGCTCACATCCCAGTGTGTGTTTGCTGTGTTTGCAGCTTCCCTGCACCTGTGGAATGCCCCAGCCACGCGGGGTCATGTTGGATGGCAGCTACAGCGATGGGGAGGTAAATGATCTGGGCAACTACACCCCAGAGAATGGAGAGAAGCCAGACAAAATGATGGTACAGCTGACCTTGGCCTCGGAAAGGAGCTCTCCCCAGAGGAAAAGTCAGAGGAGCAGCTACGTGAGCATGAGGATTGACACCCATGCTATTGATAAATACTCCAGGATAATTTTTCCAGCAGCATATATTTTATTCAATTTGATATACTGGTCTATTTTCTCATAAATGCCTGTAACTCTATACATTTCTCATTCTTCTGTCTGTACCACAGATGTACCTGTATGATGAAAGTAATTTAAGGTAATGATGAAATTAAAGTTCCCACTACCCACCTTTCTCCGTCTTTCCAAGACATTGACAAGACATTTATGGCTTAATTTGTACTTACTAACCACCTCTTATATCCACAGCATTCTACTCGGTGCTGCAGGAATAGGACATCCGTAGCAACTGGTGATAGTTGTTAACCAGGATGCCTTGGAAAAGCACACTGCCAGTGTTGTGGACACATTGTAGTTCAACCTCTTTTAGAGCCTAGGTGCTTATTCACAGGAATGACCCCCTATGTCCTTGTATTCTCTGGACTTGGTGGAATTGGGAAGCACCTAGAGTTCACTTTCATGGCATATACATGCACCTAAATCTCCACTTTGACCAAAATTTATGCTTCACTTCATAGTCTATTCCCTATTTTTCAATGTGTCTCCTCATGTTTATTTTAATACAAGGCAATAATAATACTCCTATTTTTATTCGTCTTATGGCTCATAAGGTTTCACCTCTTTCAGAAGCAAAGCTCTTTGGATTGGTGCAATGGCTTCTGACTTGGGGGGAATTTCCCTGGTAGGGAAACTGAGAGGGTCTATGCACACAGTCAGTTCTGTCATAGAGATAACTAGCCTAGAAAACCTGTGTTTCAGTGCTTCCTGTTTCATAATCACTGCTTCATGGAGCTCCACCTTGGAGCATGTCCTAGTTCAAAGTGAAGTCCTTTCTCAGTAGTGTGATATTTTTACTGAGGAACTTGGGAATAGACCATTTTCTGCATAAACATTTTAAGAAAATGCATAATTGGGGGCAACCTGTAACCCACTGGGATGAAAATGCTCACGTGGTTTCTGAAGAAAAAAGAACAGAAAGAAAAAGAAACGGGAAGACATCACTGAAGATCTCCAATTACGCTTAGTGAATGCCAGCATTTTCTGTGAACCAGAAAACATTGGCCACCTCCTGCCAGGACAACGGAGAAGTGAGAGGGTCCTATTTGATGTATTATTTAAAAATAGAGAAGTCATTAATACTATATATCTACAGGAACAACCCCCACCAAACTCATCCAAACAGCATTTGTTTGAAACTCACTTTAATAAAGTGAATTCTATACACAATGATGTCATTTTCTTTCCAAAGTTAATTGGACTGAGCACCCATACTAAATAATATCATATTTCTTCGTATGAGAACTACATTCTCATATGAAAATAAAACCATATTTGCACAAATCCTAATTACAAGGTAGTCTCCCATTTCCCTCAATAAAGGCTCATGAAAACAAAAAGTTTTTTGGCAAATTCAAGAAGATACTTAGAGGGATATAGAAGAAATTGTTAAACATTAGTTTTTAATATTAAAATTTTTTTAAACATTACTTTTTTCATGCTTATTTTATGAAGGAATTTCTTTTTTTTAATTTTTTTAAATTTATTTATGATAGTCACACAGAGAGAGAGAGAGAGGCAGAGACACAGGCAGAGGGAAAAGCAGGCTCCATGCACCGGGAGCCCGATGTGGGATTCGATCCCGGGTCTCCAGGATCGCGCCCTGGGCCAAAGGCAGGCGCCAAACCGCTGCGCCACCCAGGGATCCCTATGAAGGAATTTCAATCAAACTCTTCACCAATATCCTTGCCATTCACTTCTTCCTCATGACTTGGGCCACTTCAGAGTCACCTAGCAAGGTTTCCAGGGCACATCATCTGAATTTCCAACTGCCTTGTTTGGGAAACTCACATGGGATGCTGTATTAGTCTAGTCTGCTCACAGTAGGTGGCTTAAACAACAAAAAATTATCTTATTTTAGTTCTGGAGGCTGGAAGGCCAAGATCAAGGTGTTGGCAAGTTTGGTTTCTCCTGAGGTCTCCCTCCTTGGTTGCAGAAGTCCACCTTCTTGCTGTGTCTCCTAGCGCCACCTTTTTCTCTGAACCCACACAACCCTGGTGTCTCTTCCTTTTCTATAAGGACACTAGTCATATTGGATTAGAGCTCCACCCTTATGATCTCATTTAACCTCAATCACCTCTTGAAAAGCTCTATCTCCAAATAAATCACAATGGGAATTAAGACTTCAACATATAAATTGGGGGGCAGGAAGGGGGCACAATTTCGTCCAGAACAGATGTCCACGGGAATTATTCATTAGCATAATAGTACATCCTATAGATGTTTGCTATTGATCTTTATAATGTAATCACATACGGTATTACTTTTTAAAGTTTGCACTGATAGCCACACTGGTAGTTAAGAAGAAAAAGTGATTAAATTCATGTTCAATTTCTTTGCCACCTTAAAGCAATTCTCTCAGGTGACCTCTTCAAGCATTTCAAACTAGCATTGATGGAGGTGATTTCCATGCTAATGCTTTCTCAAGGCTGTACCTCGCTGTCAAAGCTGTGTTTGAGACAGAACTCTAATACGACTTTGTAAAGACCCAAATATAAAGCAACTCCCTCTTTCTGATGGATAATTTTGGAGAGAACCTCATCATGCATGTGGGTGTCTATAGTACTTAATAAACTTTTGCTGGCATGACTAGAGAATAGGAAGATTTGGTTAACAACATTGCCTGGTTAAGAGGCAGGTATCTTATGCCCATATCGAATAATTTTTAAAGAGTCAAAATACTGTAAAATACTGTTGATTTGAACTATATCAAACATAATTTATTCTCTGGTAGTTCAGGATTTTAAAGTTTCTTATCATTTTTATGTTACAATGTGGACATCATAAAACTGTGCAGAGTGTTAACCAGGAAGGAACTGGGGTTAGACCAGCTTTTCCTTAATAGCAATATTCTCTTTCTGTATTATATATTCCTAAGCAATATTTATTAGTTTTTTTCATAATTCACATTTTATAGAGAAGAGTAGGATGCTAGATTTTAGAATAAAATAATGGCTTGTTAGTAACAGTGAAACCTCACATTTGTAAAACCCAGTGTTATAAACAAGTATTTTTCAAAAGTACCACTGGGTGCGGAGCCCACCGTGGGGCTTGAACTCAATCCTGAGATCAAGACCTTAGCTGAAATCAGAGTTGGATGCTTAACCAACTGAGCCACCCAGGTGCCCCACAAACAAGTACTTTTGATGTAGCACATTGGGTCTGGCAAATGGTCAAGAAAGAATTCTTGAGATGTCTTCGGTGCAAAAAAAAAGATTTTTTTTTTTTAATTTTTGTTTTTAGAGTGCAAAAAAGGTAGTTTTATTAAATCATGGGGACAGGACCTGTGGCCAGAAAGAGCTGTGGTGGGGTTGTGAGAGGTGACTGATGATATATTTTCAGATTGCGAAGGGGTTAGAGATAGTGTAAATCTCTAAAGAGTTTGGAAGCGGGCAGCCCCGGTGGCGCAGCGGTTTAGCGCCGCCTGCAGCCCAGGGCGTGATCCTGGAGACCCTGGATGGAGTCCCACGTCAGGCTCTCTGCATGGTGCCTGCTTCTCCCTCTGCCTGTGTCTCTGCCTCTGTGTGTGTGTGTGTGTGTGTCTATGAATAAATTAAAAAAAAAATTGGAAGCAAGGTTTCCAAGACCTGAAGGGCCAACTGTTAGGATTCGGTTGTTTACTACTGTCTAGTAAAGCCTTAGTCATGAGACCCTCCAGATGTGCATCAGTGGGCCATCTGTTTCAAGGATGATTGCTAACATATATTTTAGGGGCAGCGGGGAGGGGAAAGTACAGATAAAGGAAGTTTCCAAAGCGTTTTTCATATGTCAAAGAAGATTTACAGGATCCTAGAGGTCTGGCTAATGTCAAGCAAAAGTTGCCTTTTGCTTATAGCAGAGTATTAACACTGAAGCAGTTGAGCTCCTTGAAGAAGGCTACCTTGCCTGTCCCAAGTACTTGTCAATGGGCTGTAAGTTGTAAGGAAGTTTAATTTTTTTCTGCATTTCTTTTGCCTTTGTTCTCCACATCACTTTTCCTTTTTTTTTTTTTAAGATTTTATTTATTTATTCATGAGAGACACAGAGAGGAAGAGACATAGGCAGAGGGAGAAGCAGGCTCCCTGCCGGGAGCCCAAGAGTGGGACTCAATCCCAGGACCCCAAGGCAGAGGCTCAACCACTGAGCCACCCAGGTGTCCCTCCACATCACTTTCACGTAGTGTATTTGTATTAAAGATTCCCAAGTTTCAAACTCAGAAACCTTTTGTTTTGTTATAACTCACTAAAGAACTCATACAAAGAGACAGACAAAGAAGTCAGGGAAGGAAAATAAAAAAATGAACTCTTGATGAAAACTTAATATCTGATTAGCAGGGGGTAAAAAACCAACAATTTTCAGGCCAAATGAAAGTTGAATACAACCCTAATGACTGCAAGATAAAATTCAATCTCTTTTTGGTTTCTACAGGGCTTGACAGTTTGATTTGTCAGATAAATTTGATAGTAGCTTTGGCACTGAGTAGATTGAACCCTCCTATACCTATCTGATTCTCCAGTATATAAAAGCTCAATTTTTTATAGCTCTCATTTATTCTGACAACTGGAGACAGGGAAACACGATGTATAAAGAAATGCAAAAAGTAAATACTCCCCAAATCCTCACCATTTCCCTGGCTTAAAAATGTAATTGACATTTCAAAGAGTAGTATTAACACTGGGGAAAACCCACTGGAGCAAGAAGACAGGTTCTGGCACAAAATATTAAATATAATCTTAATTTTAATCTAATTACATCTAGATGAATGAAATTCTAAAATATTGTCCCCGAAAATGATATATTCCAAGGAAATGGAAATTTTTGTAGGCTGAGAGGTCAATGGAATTATTTGAATGAAGAGACACGGAAGTTGCTTTAGGAAATTTCACTGGCCACAATAGCAAGATTTCTTGTGTGCAAAGGCCAAGTTTTAAACTGCATTCAGGCACGTTTTAATAGGACTGCACTTGTAATTTTCCAGTAAGTTTCTTCCTTTTAGATCTTCTTTCAGAAAGCAATCAATGTTAGTATGGCCAGTTTAATGATATGCTTAGAAAAATAGTTCAAGCACGATTAGAGAACAAAAAAATGATCTCTGAAAGTCTCTCAATATTCTCCGAAAAGTGGCACATTTTCTCATGTTATACATCTGCACACAACTATTCTTATATGAAAATCAATTTTAATGTTCTGGCTTCCCCCGAAATACCATGACTACAACTTAATATGAACCTGGCTGCATAGTTACTGGCTTTGCCATTTCAAATAGTTAACAATCTTTGCAAAATTGTCTTTAGTTATGAAATATGGCATAATTGTGCTCAAATATGTCTGGTGGATTTACCTAAAAACTAAAGATTTAAGGTTCAGCTTTACAACCGCTTTCCCATTTTGTAATACTGTTCCATCACACAGTTTAAGTATCATGGCATTCCTCAAGTTGGATTTCCATATCGGGGTATTCACTGGAACTATTTTTAATTGGGATAAAAATACAATATGTTCTTGCAACTCAGATATCCCCAGAGCAGTGTTGACATTATCTAAAAATGTGCTAAGAAAGCAGAATCTCAGTACTTGCCTTCCACCTTCTCAATTAGAACCATATTTTAACAAGATCTCTTAGGTGATCATGTGGGGGTGCCAGGCAGCCTAGGCAGTGAAAGAATGCACCCAAGGCGGAATAAAAGAGAAGTTTATTGATTGCACTGCAGGACAGCAGTTGGCAGGAGAGTAAAGGAGATTGTCTGTCACAAGACAGTGGTGAGGCACCACAGTTACAGGGCAGGATAAGAGAGTATGGGGACATATGGTAATTTTAGGAACTGCACCTGGTTCTCTGACTGGTTCTATGTAGTCCATTGGTCAGTTAGGGTCTATGGGTATTTTGAGGTGAATCACTTCAAGAGCCTCCTTGTATTCAGCTCGGTGGTTCCTGTGGGTTCTTTTGTCTTGTTCAGGTTTCTATTACTCAAGCCTATGGCCTAAAAGCAGCCTCCACAATTTGTATGTACATTCAAGTTAGCAAAGCTCTGAACTAGGTTCACATAACCATACATCTTTGAGTATCATTCTATAAGAACTGATCAAAGAATTGCATTTATACACTCAACAACTCAATATTGAGGGTGTTAAGCACTGTGTTAAGAGCTATAGCTGATTTGTTGATCTCAAACACATTGGTCAAGTAACTGCCACCCCCTCAAAAGTGTACAGCCCTCAAGCACCAAATCCAGCTTAAAAAAAAAAACAAAAAACAAATGCCTCTACAAAACAGTAAGAAATGTTTTTCCTGGGGATGTCTGGGTGGCTCAGTGGTTGAGCGTCTGCCTTCGGCTCAGGGTGTGATCCCAGAGTCCCAGGATTGAGTCCCATTTTGGGCTCCCTGCATGGAACCTACTCCTCCCTTTGCCGGCATCTCTGCCTCTCTGTGTGTGTGTGTTTCTCATTAATAAGTAAATAAAATCTTAAAAAAAAAAAGTTTGTCCTGGAATCTTCAAAAAATATTTCTCCACCACAAAGCTCAACTGAGTTTAAATTTTTTTTTTTTTTTTTTTTAATTCTAAGGGAGTCTCAGTTACCTGGGATCTAAGTGCATTTTTGGGAGGTAAATTTCCTTGGGGGGGGGGGGGGAGATAATTTGTAAACCTCATCAACTTACAAAAAACAGAAAAAACTCATAATCCTATTAAGCAGAGGCAACTAGTATTACTTTTTTTCTGTATATTTTTATATAGTTGCCATCATATTTTATATACAAATTGATTTTGGTTCTTTTTTTTTAAATTTTATTTATGATAGGCACACAGTGAGAGAGAGAGAGGCAGAGACATAGGCAGAGGAAGAAGCAGGCTCCATGCACCGGGAGCCCGATGTGGGATTCGATCCGGGGTCTCCAGGATCGCGCCCTGGGCCAAAGGCAGGCGCTAAACCGCTGCGCCACTCAGGGATCCCTTGATTTTGGTTCTTTTCCAAAACATAGCATGACCATTTTCCTACTAAGAACTCCTTATATTCTGCAGCCATTAAAATCATCCTATATTTTAAATATACAAGGCAATCTTCCCTTTAATATTGGGTAAAAAGAAATACTGTAATGAATACTCTTAGTTATATATTCGTGTCACGCTCTATTCTATCTGCTTACATTAACAATGAATGTGGGAATAGATGTTGATTTGAGACTGATATTCCTTATTATGTCACAGTAGTGTGATTCTAGGCTACTAGCTTTCTCCGACTGTAGAAATCACAAATGGGATTAAACTATATCTTAGTGGTATTTGAGAAGATGGAAGAGCAGCCCACTCATATTTGCTTAAGAAAGATTTAGAAGAATACAGGGGAATCTCACATATAAAAGTAAATAGAAGTACAGTGGGGCCTGATGAACACTGGAAAGATTTCAGACAGCTTTTCTTTTTAAGCAGCATGGTACCTTTCTTATTTTTCTGGGTGACTGTTGTACTGGCTATTAAGATTGTCCTCTGCAAACACATGACATTCAGCTCCAGATATGTCTTTAAAATTCTAGGCTTATCATCATCTAAGTGACACCCCCATCCCATTCTAAATTCCCAGGAGAGCTAATTCAAGTGCCTCCTCACTCATATCAGAATTCCATGTCAGTTTGTATAGACCTCTTGAGAGCTGAAAGAGTGTAAACTGACTCATTAGGAGGCAGGAAAGGAATTAGCAACCAGAATCAGATTAAAATTTTTCCTCCTGAGCGTACCTTGAGCTCAGTGATGGCTGTCTGCAAATGAGCCCACATCTAGAGGGTCCTTCAGACTATTAAAACAAGAAACAGGGCAGCCGGGGTGGCTCAGCGGTATAGTGTTGCCTTCAGCCCAGG